TTCATATGTTACATGTTTCGCCACATCAATCCATAGCATCTCAATAGGATTGAGGTCTGGAGATTGAAAGGGCCATGGTAAAATGTTTACATTTTGCTGACATAAAAATTGTTTAACCCTACGGGCTGTGTGTTTCGGGTCATTGTCAGCCTGCAAAATCCAGATATCTGGCATTTGATTTCTTGTAAATGGCAGCAATACCTCATTTAATATATCAATGTATTTGTATTGATCCATTATTCCTTCAATTCTATGAATTGGGCCAACACCTTGTAACGTAAACGCTCCCCAAACGTTCACTGAACCTCCTCCACCTTTCACGGTTGATTTTATGCATTTTGGTGAAAATTCCTCGTTGACACGACGTCGAACATACAATTTGCCATCTGACCCCATTCTATTAAACTTGGACTCATCGGTAAAAACAACTTTTGACCAGTCTGCTATTGTCCAGTTGCGATGATTCTTAGCGAACTGTAAACGAAGCTTTCGGTTTCGTTTGGAAATGAGTGGCTTCTTGTGAGCGATGCGACCTATAAGATTAAATTCGTTTAATCTTCTTCGCACTGTTCGAACACTAATTTTCCTGATAATTTCGACACCAGATTCATTGAGAACTTGTTCGGCTGTTTTGTAACGATCCCCTTCAGAGATGCGGTGAAGAATGCGATCTTCTTGTGCTGTTGTATTACGAGACCTTCTTTTACGCGACACGTTACAAACTGATCCTGTCTTAGATATGAATTGCATTGCCTGTATATACGCCGTTTTGGAAATATTTAATTTTGTAGCAATTGCTGAAAATGAGTATCCCTTATCTCTCAATAATTTAATTTGAATTCTTAGTTCAGGAGTAATGTTCTTCTCTCGACTCATGATTGTTGACTGTGATCCATTGCAACCATGTCAACAGTGATGGTAACTAAGGATCTGATGCAACTATGTAATGTGAAAATAAACAAAAAATGAAAAACACGAATCGGTCTTAAGTAGTTGTCCGCTGTTATAACGACCTAATCTGAGAAAATATTAAAAATATTTGCAGTTTATTGTGTTGTAAATAAAATTATTGTGATATTATGGTTTAATATACTTCAAAATATATTTCATATGAGTTTAGCATACGAAAAATACAATGAATAAAATATTAGCACTGTTTATTTCCTTAACTAACCAGCGGTCTTAAGTAGCTGGCCGTAAGTAGCTTATAAATTTATAAATGGTTTGTTAAGAAGTTATGACAAATATATGAAATGTGATGTTTTTTTTATTTACTAAACAAACAAATTTACGTTATCGTTCGCTCTGATGCCTATTCTAACCTCAATTAGACGTACTCGGTCTCCGCGACCCACTTTCCGCCATTTTAACCCTGAACGAAACGGAGGAAACATTTGTTCCGAGGAAAGTTACTTTTATTTCTCTAAATGTCCTCTTTTTACACTAAACCTACCATGATTAGTGACATAACCGTTTTTAAAATTTTGTTTAGAATTTCTAACGTACTGTTATGCCATAAGCTGCAGACTCGTCCAAATAGTTGCGGCGTCACAATATTAGGTTGATTTTTGATTGGGAAAGGTTCAAGCACTCGGACAAAGATATCAGGATATACTCTAAGGTTTATTCGGAGACTGAACACTGATGCACTCTTTACAAGATGAAACGTCCAAATGAGCCCGGAGGGCCAGGAGCGGTACACTTTTATAATTTTGGTTTAGGTACACCCGGGTTAGGTCTGGGTCTATGACGCATTTGTTTTTACCCCATAAAGGAGTCAACAAGTTCGTCATCTTCTTCGAGTATCGCTTATGACTAACCTTATCACTATGAGTAATACTTATTTTCTATGGGGGCCTACGGCATGACAGTACGATGTTATTTTAGCGCCATTTAATTTCACGACTTTCCTTATAGTATACGTGGAATCAATTTTTCAATATTTACTTCTATTTTTATTGTTTGTTCTCTGAGAAAAATATGTAGTTTTGCTTACCATTATCGGTCATCTAACTGGTTGAAAGATTTATATTTTTTTGTAAAAAACTGGACAAAATTTGGTATCAAATTCTGGTTAGGTTCCGATATAAATAGGAAATACAGGGTGTTCCGCATTTTTCCGTACACACTTCAGCAGTGTGTTGTATAAGTAAAACCAAGACTAAAATGTTACATAACAAAAAAATCCATAAATGCTTTATTAAGATGTTAAAATATTAAATATTGTAGGATTTAAAAAAGAGAATTGTATTTGGAACAAATGTACAAATAATATAATTAAATGAACGAATTTGAAATACACCAAGCACACAATCTTTTTACACAAATCAAAATCTCATTAATTGACAACACAAATTCAAATCACGTCTGTCTTTTCCAATCACTCGTTACTCTCTGCCCGTTGTCTCGCTGTCCCTAGTAACCCCTTCTTTTTTAACAAAACACTTTCAACCCTTTTGCACATAAGTTAACATTGAACCAAACTACAGCGTGACACAAATATTCAACACAAATCTCCGAACCAAACTACAGCGTGATACAAATATTCAACACAAATCTCCTACAATATATTAAATAAATATTAAATAATATTAAAAATATGAACTGTGAAATTCGGTTGAGATTTGTGGTTCGATAGTAATATAAAATGTAATTTATTCAGATCTAATAAATCATACAGCGAAATTACAAAGGTAGCGAAGAAGAGATGTTTTATAAAATACACAAATATATAGTAATACACAAGCACGGGAATTCCCCGCGATCGACTGGTGAGCTTTACTTGGGGGTTCCCCTACGGTCGACCAGTACTCCAACGTAAAGCGCCATCCTGCGGCCATAAGCGTGCATGCTTCAAGATATTAAAATAAGAAAAAAAAATTTATAATGAAGCAAAACCAATCTTTTGCAAGCATTCGATATCGTGAGTTTCTTTGCAATTTACTGAACATAAACTTGAACGATAATTCAAAATTTTATGACAACAAAAAGATATCATCGAAGATAGAATACTTCAGCATCCAAGGTAAATGATAGAAACTAAACTCTGATAAAGAAATGTTTAAGTTATTCACATAATTCTGCGTTAAAAATATGTTTTCGTGCCTCAACTAGCAGTTGCTCTCTTTCTGGTTAGTATAGCTGCCAGATATAATATTACGAATAGTATATCCGCGTTGATACATTATTTACGTTCGTTCGTTTACGACTAATTTCTTCTGTATAGTTTTTTACAAACATTGTACAACGTTTCGATTTATAAGTGTACGTACCTACAATGTTGTTGGGATTGGGTTTGGTTCAGGCCACTAATTCTAGACAACTCATTATTATACTTAACACATTTATTTCTTGTTGTGTTTTCTGAATGAGGTAGCCACAAAATACACACTTTTATAATATGAATATAAAGGTATATTTAAACTCAAAACACAATTAAACATTCAATTTACAACTAACAAGACATAACCTAAACAGTTGCTATACTGCTAACCGCCATATACCATACTGCTGGGCTCTACCTCCCCCCCTCAGGCGTTGCCAGATTCTTGGCAGTGTTGTCAACATTTCTAATTGTAACAATGAACGTACATATTTCTACACGTGTCCTTCACAACGCCATTACACACTACCGAGCGCTCTGCCACGGGATTCCCCCTCGTATCTCCATTCCAGCGCTACCAACCAAAATCAATAAAAATAACTACACAAATATTACATAAATACAGAGCGGATCATTAAACTTGATCAACTCAATTATTTTCGTAACTAATCGACAAATCAAAATTTTGTTCAGGACGATTGCATATTATCTAATCGCGGAAAATTATTTTAATACAGAATTGTATTAAAATTATTGTAATACAGAAGTACTGTATTAAACGTTTAAAGTGGTTACTTTATATTGTAAAAATAGTTAAGAGTGACACAAAATTTTAAAAGATATAAATGAAGGATTATTATTATTACAATTTCTATAAAATTTCAGATTCTCTGAACTAAAATATGTGCACATAATTTTCTGTTCGTTTTTTCATTTTGAAATATCACTTTATTCTGTTTTCATATAAAGAAGCAAAGTACAATACAGTGGGAAAGAGAAATAATTTTTTATCGTAATCGAAGGATCTAGTAACTAAATTGCAAACTTCGTCTTTAAATTATGGGTGTGTGAATTTATATGTAATTTGAAATATATAGAACGAATTAGAATTTGGAATTTAACAAGGCCGTATTGTAAATAAAGAACAATTCAACTATATGTTACAAGGAGCATACAAACGTTAACTGTTTGCACAGAAAATTGAATAAAATCGATTAAGAGGAGGAAAAACAGTAGTTAATTTTCGTTTCTCAGTTATATTATTTAACGAAATCACACAACATACGAGATCGTTGAATTTGTTTTACTATTAAAATACGATATATTATTGAAAAATATGCTAATAGACGTATTATGCAGAGATGAAAAGTTGGCTGGCATGTCTGACTAGTTATGGTATAATCTCCTTATGGATATAATAGAAAGGAGATTATGCTATCTCCAATCAGACCTGCTAACGAACTTCTGTGCATAGTAAGCATATCACAGTACCAATTTGCAATATTGAAATTAAAATAGCCTTGTAGTTTAATACGTGTCTATAAATAAAGGCGAACTGCATCGATTTATACATAACAAAATATTTCATTCCATTCAAAAATACAAAGTCCTATTTGAAACATTTTTTAAACGACGAACAATTTGGGAAATACTTTCATTTTTAGATAAAAATGAGTGATCCTTATATGTATAAGGAATCATTCACTTTTATAAGAAAATTCCCTAGTATTGTAACTAAATTATGGTGCATGGAAATTTTGTTTTTTCTCGAATGGTTCAATCTGTATTCTTATTTTACAATTTCATCAATTAAATATACATGACAACTCGCAAAAATGTTTACAAATATATGTATTTTAACATTATAATAAACTCAGTAAAATAAACTAATTGAGAATATGGTAACTTTTTTGACCTAGTGTTTATTGAGAACACATCAAAGATGAGTTACTTATCTAAATACAAATTACGAATAAAATATTAAATATTGGTTATCGATTCATCGAATAAAATTTTGCTCTTTTCAAATTTTTTTTGGACGCAAACATTTCGAGATTAAATGATCGAAATGGTTATTAAGGTCGTTGAATTTGTATTTTATGTCGAAAAAAAGATGTGGAGTCCCATTATACAAAATACCAATGACTTCGAAATCTTTTAAAAAACGTCATTCAGAAAAAATTAATTTCACCGTTACACGTACTCCTTTAAATAATATAACTTTATGCAATTAATAAGGTAGATATTTAACTAAGACACCCTGTATATTGCATTTGAATGTTAAAATTCAAACGAAAAACGTTTTAAATCTTCCACTTCTGAAAGCGATTTTTGCAGTTATATTCATAGTTATACCATATGTCGTGAACGAGGCATTTAGAATTCCAAGAAGATCGAACTGGCAATTCGAAACATTAGTTGATTAATCACTTTAGTCGATGGACTGAAACTTCCGTTACTGGCATGCGATTATCTAATTTGCCGGACTAAATTAATTGTTATATTACGTTATCCTCAACGTAAATCATTAATGGTAGTAGTCGCCTCGTCATCGCATAGCGACATGATGCCAAAAATGCTTTTATGCGATGCTTATCGGTCGTAAGCGTTATTGGGTGCCAGCGTTAATTATTTGGTCTAATATGACTTTAATCGATTCAGTATTTTTTTAGTATCGCTTTAAAAAACTGTTGCAACTTTGTATTCGTTATACACTCAGATTTTAAATAATTCTTGCTGTACGATTTCTTTAAATAATATTTTATTGATATTACGATGAGTATATTTATCGATAATAGATTTTAATTAAATTTACTCTCGTAGTAGTTATTTTCGATTTGTCCTATTTTTACTTCAATGTATACAGGAAGTACAACATAGCAGTACTCAGATCATCGAACACCCTTTATGCATATGATTGCACTGTACTGAATATTTTCTCTGATTTACTTACAGTGCCGAACAAAAGTATTGGCACAGACCGTATTTTCAAATAAAATGTTATGTAGCAATGAATAAAGCACAATGTCTACTTTATTTTTGGTATAAAATATAAGTTTGAGGTTTGAACTTTAAGTATCTCGTGAAATAAAGCGTTTAAGTAGACCTGCAATAATGAAAAATAGTAACAAATACACAGAGGGCAGTTTTCGACGAAACAAAAGTATTGGCACACTTGTAAATTTAATATTTCTATGAAACACTTATGTAAATCTTTATAATATTAGCATGACCGTTATATCCAGGAAAGTCCCAAGATTCAATTTGATATTCATTTGTTATTTCTTACTAAGTTTGCCTGTAATAAAGTGAATAACACAACAATGTATCGAAAAACACGAGAAACTACAATTTCAGAGAGAAAAATTATATTAAAATTATCAGAAGAGGGGAATTCATATTCTACAATAGCTAAAATAGTAAATAGAAGTCGTTTCACCGTAAGAGATATCATTAAACGGTTTCCTGACGAACAAAATGTAAAAAAATCTTCCGCGAAGTGGTCGTTCACAGAAATTATCAGAACGAGATAAACGAAAAATTACCAAGATTGTAAAAAAAATCTTAAAGTTGCCTCTACAGAAATAGCGGCACAAATGAAAAGTGAAAATAAGGTAAATGTGCATCCTATAACTATCCGGAGAGTTCTTAAAAGTGCCGGGTACAATTCAAGAGTGGCTAGAAGAAAACCATTGATCAGCAAAATTAATCGAAAAAACAAATTAGAGTTTGCAGAGATGTATGTACACAAAAATTTAGAATTTTGGGATAGAATGCTCTTCTCTGACGAAAGTAAATTTAATATTTTTAAATCTGACGGTCAATTAAGAATATGGCGAAAGCGTAATACCGAGTTGGATTCACATAACATAGTCTCAACTGTTAAACACGAGGGTGTTAGTGTATTAGTATGGGGTTGGTTGTATGAGTTCCTCCGGACTTGGAGAACTTGTTTTTATAAACGGTATTATGGATAAATTTGTATATTTAAATATTTTGAAACTAAACTTAAAAAAAAGTGTGGAAAAATTAAATCTTGGGGAAAACTACTATTTCCAACAAGATCATGATCCCAAGCATACTGCTTATATTGTCCGCCAATGGATCGTTTTTAATACACCCCATACATTGCCAACCCCTCCTCAATCGCCGAATTTAAATCCGATTGAACACATATGGAATGAGTTAGAAAGAAGGATCCGAAAACACCTTATTCAGACAAAGGAGCAATTAAAAGATGCACTTATGAAGGAATGAAACGAAATAGATTTAGAAGTAACAAAAAATTTAGTACATTCGATGCCTAATCGATTACAAAGTGTAATAAGACAAAAAGGATTACAAACAAAATATTAATTTGTATATTGTATTATAAAATAGTAAGTGTGCCAATACTTTTGTTTCGTCAAAAACTGCCATGTATGTGTTTGGTACTATTTTTTATTATTACAGGTCTACTTAATCGCTTTGTTTCGCGAGATACTTAAAGTTCAAACCTCAAACTTATATTTTATACCAAAAATAAGGAAGATATTATGCTTTGTTCACAGTTACATAACATTTTATTTGAAAATGCGCTCTGTGCCAATACTTTTGTTCGGCACTGTATATGTAGGATGTTTTTTAATATGTGGAAAGGATGTTAAAAGTCATGGTAAATGTGATCTGATAGTAATAGTAGTAGATTTATTTCCTGCTTCCCCTTAGGGTTACACTTCCTCCCCACCTTACATTTCCATCTCTCCCTTAACCTAACTTATCCTACTTATCCTACTTATTCTACTCTTACTCTACTCCTCACTGCCCTTACATCCTCCCCCCGCCGCTTTTCCCCTCTCTCTCATTTCCTTTCGCCGCACGCTCTTATCCTAATCCTACGCTACTCGCTCTCTCTCTCTCTCTCTCTCATCTCCCTTCGCCGCACGCTCTTAGCCTAACCTTACGCTACTCGCTCTCTCCCTCTCTCCCTCCTCCCTTCTCTCCCACTCCTCCACCCCCGCTCGCCCTCCCCGCCGTCGACTTCCATTTCCGCCCTTGCATTCCATTCCTTCATTCACTCCTCCCCTCATCCCCCCCTTCCCCCCTCTCCACCTCTTTCTCTTTCCTCCTGACCTCCAGCCTCTTTATCCACCCCTCCCCTCCCCCTCCCTCGTCCAAAATCTCCCTTATCCTTTCCCCGATCCCCTTCCCCTCTGCCTCATCCCCCGTACATCTCTCCAAAACGTGCTCCCATGTCTCCTCCTCCCAACCACATACCCTACATCTCCTCTCTTCCTCATCCCCCCAGTACCTCCCCCCCCTCATCTCGTTCCCCATCCTATACCTAGCTAGCCTTCCATACCTCACTTCTCCCCACCCTGCCTTCAGGTACCCCGGTAACTCCCGTCCCACCAACTCCCTGTACCACCTATTATACCTCGACTGCACCACTTTTCCCCATCTCTCCTCTTCCTGCCTCCTCCCATCTTCCTCCTCCCATCCCTCCCAGCCCGCTCGCCCACTTGCCCCTCCCTCTCCTCCCCTCAATCCTCCCAACCTGTCTCTCTCCCACGCCGACAATTCCTCTCCCCCTTCCCTTCCCCTTTCCCTTATCTCTTCCAGGCACCACCTAGCCAACTCCCCTCCCTCTCCCCTACTCAGTTTCTCCTCATATCTCCCTGCCCTTCCCCCCGCCCACGTCCTCAACTTTTTCCTCTTCGTCTCCTCCCTTACCATATATCCTGGCGTCCTCCAGTCCACCCCCAATGACCACCTTATATACCTCTCCTGCATCCTCTCCATCTCCTCCCTCTCCCTCCACCCCCAAATCTCTGCCCCATATCCCGCCACCGTCCAGACCAACGTGTCGAACAGCCACATCCTCCTTCCCCAGTCCCTCTCAAACTTCCTTTTCCCGATTCCCCATGCCTGCCTCATTACCACCCCCGCCTTTCTCACCCTATCCCTAACCTGCGCCTCCTGACCCCCGTTCCTCCTGAACACGTACCCCAGGTACTTAAACTCCTTCACCTCCTCTATCCTTTTCCCCTTCCACCTCCACTCCACCTTCCTCTCCCTTCCTCCCCCCTTCCTAAACCTTACCACCTTCGTTTTCTCCACATTAACCTCCAACCTCTTTCTATCCAGGTACCCTTCGAGCCGCCTAATCATACTCCCCATCTCTTCCTCGTCCTTCGCCACCATCACCAGGTCATCCGCATACGCCAGCGCACACACTCTCCTCCCCCCTACCTCCACCCCTCCCCATCTTCCTTTCCTCATCTCCTCTTCCACATCCGCTATTAACAAATTGAAGATCTGATAGTAATATAAAATGTAATTTATTCAGGTCTAATAAACCATACAGCGAAATTAGAAAGATAGCGAAGAAAAGATGTTTTATAAAACCGTTTCGACAGTAATACACAAGCAGGGGAATTCCCCGCGACCGACTGGCGAGTTCTACTTGGGGGTTCCCCTACGGTCGACCAGTACTCCAACATAAAGCGCCATCGTGCGGCCATAAGAGTGCCACAGTAATTACGTATGATTTAAGGGAGAATTCTCGTGTAACGGAGTTAAAATTGAAGTTTCATTTTTAATTTTTTTTGTAAAGAATTAAAAGTTCTATTGTACTAGACTTTTAGGGACACGAAGAAAGACCCTTAAATTATACGAAAATATTTTTTTTGTCCATTTTTATTGTTATAGTTTAGGAAAGACCACCATTAACACGAAGGTATTTAATGTAGTTATTATTACTTTAATAATGTCTTAATACTACATAGTGTAACTGTACGAACATTCCAGGCGTCGCACGGGGAAGTCCCATTTGAATAAGTATAATAGATGGCGACACTGTTGAAAAATATGTGGTGGATAAGTTCGCGCTCGGGAGAGTCTTCAGATATAAAATTCAATTCTGTCGTTGTATCAAGAAAGGGCTTCATTTAAGCACACTTCTGCTTTCTTACTTCTTGCTTTGCGTAGGCGTCGAACAGAACTGGCCCCTAAAAATCCCTGGACCAAGAAAAAGGGGGTGCGCCAACTTAAATCTAATACTACCAACTAGTGACTTAGATCTTACTTAAAGTAACTAGAAACTAACTAAAACAAGGGACTTAACTAGATGGCGCTTGCTACGCCTGTGATGTTAGCCGCCACAAATATCAGGTCCTTTTGCATAGGAAATGATTGAATAAGTAGATATAGACAATATTTAAATGTAAAATACAACCACTTTAATTATTCTTTAGATATTACATAGTTAAATAAAGTACAGTATGCGATGCCGACCATGCGGCTTGAACAAACGACTCGAACAAAAGCGACAGAAATCTCCGCACGATCTTCAACCACATTATAGGTGTCGCCACTTTGGCCGCGAGATTATGAACGGCTCAACAGACACTGCACCCCTCAACATTTATTCTCTTTTATTAAACAGTAGTTAAGTCTTTTTTTTTTGTATAAAAATCATTTCTTCAGAATGGTATAGTTTTTAAAACTTGTCATATTTTTTGTTTAAAATAGGTTCAGTAACAGTGGAAATCAACCAGCTTTAAAAAAATTTTTCGTTTGTTGCTTTCTGATGCTACGCTGTACACCAACTATGGTTACATCGTCGGATAGGATTAAAAGATTTAACTATTATTTAATGAAAGATAAAAATGGGCTAAAAAAATATTTTTGTATAGTTTAAGGATCTCTCTTCAGGTTTTTAAAAGTCTAGTACAATAGAACTTTTAATTCTTTACGAAAAGAATTAAGAATGAAGCTTTAATTTTAAAGCTGTTACACGAGAATCCCCCTTTAAGCCACTTTTATAATAACCGTCACATTTATAATTATTGTGAAGTAGAACAAGGAGTTATTTCATTTAGATAGAATAAAATAGTACCTGTATCTATAGAAATATCTGCAAGAATGTTCGTACTGAGGAAAACCATAAGTGGTGGTCATTAAGTATAAAAGGTTAATTTATCTGAGATATAGTTTTGTGCAATGATACCGTATTAGACACATCGTATGGTCGTAGAATTTTTTCAAAGGGCACAATTTATAGAGTTCTTCCATCGGCGACGAGCCTAAATTTTCAGTGGCTAAGTGACTCGAATCGCGACAAATCGATCAGTTGCATATTTTCTGTGAAGGTTCTCTGGTTCTTGGCGATATCGTATCTAATGCGTAAGGTCACTGTCTTATCGTATTATTATCAGATGTTGCAATCACAATACGACGATAATTGACGAGATACCATTTGCTTTGCTATGATTTTTCATATTATTTTCCAGTCAGAGATTAGACGCGATGAATGATGTGCTCTGCATCGTCGGCAGTTAACTCGCGGTGGCATGTCTCGAGCTCTGTTTTTCGAGGTAGACGGATGATCTCTATTGTTCTAAATCCATAATTACCACAGTATATCAATTTTATCGGTATTAGTAAGAATTATCGTAGCAATGTTTGGTGTTTTGGACTTACGTGATAACAAATTGCTCGATGTTCGTATATCTGTCATGCGTCATTGCTTCGATTCTTGTAATCCTTCGCCACGACTGCCAGTAACCCTTTCGAGAGATGAAAAATTTTCCACCGTGCAACGTTCCATTCTCTCGTCGTTGATTCAGCGAGATTTTTCATCGAGGCGAAACGTCTGGGCGGGAACAATGTATTATTTTCGATTTCACACAACAATCGATCAGACGTGATCAATACTCCTCTGTGGGTGAAAAGGACAATAAGTGGTCGGTAAAATTTCTGTGTGTTGGTGCCTCGCGGGAACGACGTCGATTGTCTAATCTGGCGGGCGATTAATTTTATACATCGAAAAAATGTTAACTCGCGAAGAAATAAGTGCCGGAGGAGAATTATTATTATCTTCCGTCGAACGAAGTGGACAAACGTGCCAAACGATCCCACGAAACATATACTAGTAAAGTACATGAAAAATAAAGCTATTTTTAATTGAAGATTAATTCTCAAGTGTCTTCTAATCCAGAAAACCAATTAATAAATATTTTAGTAGCTTGTACACATAAACACACACGGATGTGGTTCGCAAGTGGTAGTACAGTTGGGTGTAGATCGATTTCACGAGAGAATATGGAATCAAATATGGAAAATTTTTTCATACAAGGAAATTTGTTTTCGAGAAAATCGTACGTTTAAATAAAATTCGACTTTTTAAATCGTGGTATGTAACAATATACCCGCTCCTGTTTGTGTTTGTAAACATTTCTAACGTCACGAAATGCAGAAATGAAAGATTGTTTTTAGAATTGTTTCATAGAAGTAAAAGAGCACAGTATGATCTAAAAGTATTTCTGAAGGAATAAAACAGTAATCATAAATGCAATTCAAGATCTAGAATTTTAAAGTTTATTGTAAAATCTCCCTCTATCTAATTGTACCATTAATTACGAACCACTTTGTACATGTAAGCATTAAGTTTTGAAAAGTCTTATCAGATTCGAGGAATATAACGTTTGCGTATGTTTGCTACATTGACGTATGTTTAACGTCACAAAAAGAGCAATCGATGTATCATACGTAGAACAAATATAGTGATCTACTTGAGGTACATTCGAGTGGACTGTTAAACCAGTGTTTCTCAAACTGGGGATCCGTAAACTTATGCCAACAAAAGGCAACATTCTTATTCTAATACGAATACCAAATAGAAGATAAACAAGAAGGTAGAATTTGAATTGTTGAATAAATATTTTAAAATGATTGAATAAAATGTATCCAATCGTTTCTGTCAGAATAACAGAATCGTCTTATTATTAGTTTACAATTTCAAAACCAAAATTGATAGAATTTCGTTAGATGAATATTGGTTTCGTTTGATGTTGAATTCATAAAAGGGACTCTCTTCCTCCAGAATATGTAAAGCAAATCTTTGAACACAAAGCTGATTTTATTACATTATAAAAGCGTACAGAAGGTATTATGGAGTAATATACAGAGTGTTCGGGCACCCCTGGGAAAAATTTTAATGGGAGATTCTAGAGGCCAAAATAAGACGAAAATCAAGAATATCAATTTCTTGACTGAGGCTTACTTAAAAAGTTACTAAAAAATTTCAAACCGTTCTGGAAAAATTATTTTCGGTTGCGGAGCTTAATTACAATCATTTTTTGTGAATACAAATACCTCCGAAATCCTACTCACTTTCGAGAAAAAAAATAGGGTAGGTGCAGAAATTTTTCGACAAAAAAAATTTTTCAAATCGTTATAAAAAAATTATTTTCGGTTGCGGGGGTCAATTACAATCATTTATGGTAATTACACATACCCCCAAAAATCCTACGCATTCTCGAGAAAAAAATTCCTTACCGAAATTCTAATTAGGTGCCTAAATTTTTCGATGAAAAAAAAAAAAATTCAATTCGTTCTGGAAAAATTATTTTCGGTTGCCGGGATCAATTACAATTATTTTTGGTGAACAGACATACCCCCGAAATTCTACCCACTTTCTAGAAAAAAATTCGAGAAGGTGCGAAATTTTTCGACGGGGGGAAAAAATTTCAATTCTTTCTGGAAAAATTATTT